TTGAAGTACTATACCTGGTAGCTGCACTATAGCTACCCTGGGTCTCTGTACCTTGCAAGGTGCCAACTACACCTTTCCATTCAGATGATGCAAATGATGCATTTGGCATTTCTTGCATCACCACCCTCAAAAATCACCTCCAACACAACCTCAAAAAACCTTCCCTCGAAGCACCCTCCTCCCCAGCATGTGCCGAGTTTACGTGTACCTTTCCCGGGCCACCCCCCCAGACCCCCTAACTACTCACTTCGTTCGCAAGACACAACTCCGCTAGCGCCTTCTACGAAGGCTGGCTTTCGTAATAGATAGATAGATATATAGATAAATCAATAAACTAAAAACATTAGAATTGATCATTATGTAGATGAAGTTTATAGATTAGCTATGATTAGATTAATAAATAGTAGAGATACACATAAATCGATTGATAAAGAGCTAGATAGCTAAATAGTTGGTGGTTCATTCAAACTCCTGATTCCCGCCTGCATGCCCAGACAATAAGCCCAAAAGGAATATGGTCCTTCGATATCTTTATATATATAATTAATACCCATCAACTTCCGTTGAGAATCAAAGACCTGTCCAAGAACATCGCTGAGCGGCGCGCCGTGCCCACTCTCGTCTCACTTCCGACGCGTTTCTCTCTCTCTCTCTCTGTCTCTGCGCAGGCGCAGGGCTTCCAACCTGCCAGCAGGAACTTCTCCAACGTGTCACAGGTCCCATGCACCTCACACTTGAACCTCGGACATGGCGGTCCACGCGACACGGTGCGACACGGTTCTTCGGTCTTCGGTGGAGTCCGACACGCCATCGGGTGTGACATGGTGAGAAATCGGACGCGTGGCGCGCAGAAAGTGACCTTCCCTCCAAGACATGACCAAAACATACCAAAGTGACCTCAAACTGGAGTGTCCAAGTGACCTCTTCCGGGACTTTTTGTGACCTGATCCTGAGATTTTAGAAGTTTGGTCACTTGGAAGGTCCCTAAAGACCACGGCCGTGTGAGCGCTTCTTCCAACTCCCCAACTGTCCGTCCGGTCTGGGAGCCCCTCTGCGACTTTGGGAGCCCATGGAGCAACTGAGCAACTAGAGGCCATGGGAGGCACGAGAGGCCTTTTCCGCTTCAAACAGGCGATTGGGGCGTCTCTGGATCAGGATCATCCAATTGTCGGACCCTTTCTGACCAAACCGACCTGGCCCAAATCCGTGAGCAACTCTGTTGAGCAAACAATCTGTAAGTAACAAGTTCCAAGGAGATCTGTGAGCGACTCTGTTGAGCAACAGCTGAACGCATCTTTTTGAGCCAATTCGAGGAGCTTACAGCTGTTGCCTTCTTGAAGGCCACAGAACTCGCCCCAGCCATCCCAGGATTTGTAGGTGGAGCAGGGCGTGTCCTGACCTCGGCCCCAAGTGGAGGAAAGTAACTATAGATACCATGAGAATGTACCACGGTAGTTAACGTATGAAGGCTCAAGCCCACTTGAGCAACATCACTTGCATCACCCAAAGCAAGGAAACAAACACATTCATATGGCATTCAAGAGGCAAAACACTATGGAACAAACTTCGTACATCTCCGTACTTCATGCATCCAAAGGCCAGCTAGGATCATGTTTCACACCCATGACAGCTGACAGCTCCAAGTCTTTAGACAAAGCCAGGGCGCAGCGCCCCTGCATGCAATAGCCCTTCACGCCATTCCAAATGCACTCACCGTCCCTCAATGGGCGCGGCGCCATTCACCCAAACCCCCGGACCAGGACCCGACCCGCTCGGTGTTTTGGTCACGAAGGCCGCACACCGTCTGGACCACTAGCATCACTAGCCGCACTAGCCTTGAAATGCGCCTTGAGTCACCTTATTTGTGACCATGTGAGTGGCGGACGTGATGTCGGATGCTCATATGCCACTATTCATCATGTTGAATGTACAGCCAAAGCTCTTGAAGAAGCCATCCTTACTGCAGCACGCGCCATTCTCATCATCTGGCGAACAGTCTTTGCCCTTCTCCAGCCTAAGCCAACTTGGACGAAGGGGGCAAATCGTGGCAGTGATGTCCAAGCTCATGAAGCTCCCTCTCGGTCACAGCACTTCCCCTGCCGAGTGAGACAGTACAGTACAGTACGGTCATCCGCGGACGCGGGCCGTCGATCCGAGACAGTGCGATAAATCCACCCTGCGATGCGTGGATCATTTTCTGTGGATTGACACCCTAAACGTTCATGGTTAAATGGTGCGGTTCGGACCCATCTCAGGTGAAGGGGGGTTGTGGACAAAGAGCGGCTCCCAATCTCCGATCTCCAGAACAGTTCAGGGCCCCGCCCCGCCGAGTGTTCTCCCGGCACTGGCACGGCATCTAGGGCTCCACACTTGCAATCAGAACAGAAGCGACATGTCCTTGGAGTGGTTTTCATACCATGGGAAGCAAGGAAGCTTCAGAGTGGTGCCCAAGCATTGCAATGCAAACAAATTGAATTCTCTGCACATTCTTTGTACGGTGATCCTTCAGTACAAATTCCCAATATCAGGATTTGATGTTCTATTTTGCCATGGATCCCCTTATAAGGACACATGCAGCTGCAAGGAAGCACTGAAAAGTATATAATTGGGCAATGCCAGGCTTCCGAGAACCATCTTGGCATTCGCACTGTTCGCCTTCCTGAAAAGAAGACCGGGTGGAGCGAAGGTGGAGCGAAGGTGGGGTGTCCCAAGATGTCACAACCCTCCAAAGCTGGGTAGGTAGAAGTCAATGCTTTCATTCCTTTTCTCAACATGAGAGGTCCATCGGCTTGGCCCTAGAGAAGAACTGCCAAATGTCACTGCAGACCTGCGGAGGTTCTGACAGCTCGCACATCCAAAACAGGCGACGCGTCTCCTCATGCAAAGAATTCCCACAGCCCTCGACCGCGGGCACACAGGAGCCCTTCATGCAAATGCCATCGCTCCCTCTCCTGCCGACGCAAAAAGGTTCGGAGCCGCAGGAGCCTTTCTGTGAAGGTTCGGAGGCGCATGGACGACACGGGCTTTCCAAGCAATCATTAAACAGTTATACACATAGACATTCAACAGACAAACCCACTTTAAACATATTGGGGTGAATCTCGGGGTACAGTCTGGCTATCCTGAAGCCCCTGAGGGTGAACAACGAAGCTTAAAGCAATCGTCTCCCAAGTGCCTCTGCCAAATGGTCAGGGGATGAAATGCTTTGGGAATCCTCAAGCAATTTGAAAAGCCAAGTGACCATGCAACCGGCATCCTCACCATCCATTCTGCCCAGTTTCATCCATTTTCATCCATTTTCCAAGTGACCCAGCAAAGCAAGTGGCAAGGTATGTACACCCCCTAGGGAACAACCATGGAAGTGGCAAACAACATGTTTGTAGAGAAAAACGGTCACCCGAATCCAAGGGGCAGTGTTGTTGTTTTGGGTTTGTGGTTGTGGGTGGGTAATGTAATGCTCTGTGAACACCAACTTTCTCTTCCTCTTTCTCCTTCTCTCCACCCCTCTCTCGCACTCTCTCTCTCTCTCTCTTTCTCTGTGTCTGTGTCTGGGTCTTTGTGCCTGTCTCTGCCTCTCTGCCTGCCTGTCTGCCTCTGCACCGCCAAAAGGCATCATGCCATCATGCTTATACTTTGAAGGATTTCCGAAGATTCACGGGAGGGTACAGTATGTCTCTTTCAAGGTTCTACGAGGCAGCCTGAGAGATGCTTGAACAACGCTGCCAGTAAACAAAGCATTTCATTTCTTCAAATACTGGAACCATCACCTGACAAACTTTCGCCATCCCTGTGTGCTACAACAAATCGAGCTGAAAACCTTTTGACCCGAGGCCCCAGGGACATGACAGGCAAACAGGGAGCTCGTGAAAGAACTCTTCAAACAAAAATGCTTCAATGACCCCCCAAAACGACCCAATGAACCCAAGTACTGAATACTTATTGATGCTTTGTCCGTTCCAATTTGAGCCCAAGCCCTTTGGTGGTCTTGCCGGTTTCATCCGGATTCCTTCACTCGGATCGCGCGGTAGCGCGGTAGGGACCGTCTGTCTCCCAGGCCCATCCTCCAGTTGCATGGCACTTGGTCCCTCACATAGTTCGCCTGGAGTCCGTGTTTTTCGTGCCAAGGCGACGGTTGGCGACGCGGGCGACGGAAGCGGACACCGGGAGGCGCTGGTGGTTGGAGGACGGTTTGCAATGCTGTTCGCCCCAGCTAAAGGAAACATGTTCGCTGTTTTGGTGGAGAACGAGGATCACACAAACACCGGCTATAAGCTATCCTTGCAACGTGGGGGTGCCCTGCCAAATGGACTTGACAATTGTCTGTGTAGTTACTTAGCCCTCATCGAGGTAGACTAGTAGATCCTTCCTTGACATCAACCAAAAGTAAAGGGACAAGTCCAATCGAATTTGCATCCAAATCCTGCGCTGACCCGGGCGTTAGTCAGTTGCATGCTCGAAGGCTATGGATATAAGTACATGTTGTATGGTTTTATCCTACAGGCTACAAGTACGTGTCCAAAGTCTACCCCCTATCAAACTAACATGGACCATGAAAATGGATCCCTGTTATAAATTCTCATCTACCGCCCAGTGGTTGGGGCAATGTGGCCCAGTGGTTGGGTAAAACCTGGCACTTGACATGCCTTTTGCACCTCCCCTTGAGTCGAAACAAGGCCACCCCCTTGTGGAGGCTCTCGCAAGACCGAACTGGAGGATTCGCGAACCGCCAGGTGGCCGGCTCTTGTCTCACCAGCCATCCATCCATGGTGCTGCACGCATGGTTCTGATCCATACACCTTGGTGCTTCACGGCCGAAGGTTCCGAACTGGCCGCCAGGGCTAAAGGCGAACAACTTCAGGCTCTGAAGGGAAGAAACCTTCGGCGAGTGGGTCCAACTGTTCATCCTGGATCCAATCTTCTAGACCAAGTGAGTGGTGGCAATGGTGGCCAGTGATGGCCAATGCCTTCCTCACAGGACAGCAAATGCACTCCCGCATTGTCCCATCACCACTCTAATATCGTGTTGATGGTTTAGTAGGGACCTGTTTGAACAATATCCTATGTGAAACCTGGCCATACACGTCCAGGCGCATGAACTTGCATTCGTTTTGAGCTTGCAAACCTGGGCCAGCACACGGAGGAGCCTGAACCCGGCTGTCATGGTGGATCTACAGCCATATGCAGCTGCTGTCAATGATTGTCAATGCACACCTGCCAGGCTTGCCTACACTTAAGCTAGGCCATGTACCGCAAATTTAGTTGCTACGTCAAGTGTCGTATCCCCAGCATATACGCTCGCAGAATGCTCACAACTCACAACATGATCAAAACAGGCCTGAACAATGAGCGTCCATTTGTACTAACCAGCACCAGGACCCACAAATTCATTGGATGAACACTCCTGAAATCTTCTGAACCTCTAAGGGCTCCAGGGCCCCGGTCGACCACCCTGCTTCGGCTGGTGCCATTGCCGTGCTTGTTCGGGCGCCCGGACCACAGAAGTCGCCCACGAAGTGATAATCGGAACACTTGGAGGGGATGCAAAGCCCAGCGGTGCAGTAGCCATTGCCCACACCAGGCACCTGACAGTTTCAAATCAATCGCCAAGTCAACACTCCGGACTGTGACATAGGCCCACTGTGGCCCGGGCACCCCCCGCTGTTCATGAAAAAGACTGCAGGAGCTGAACGAAACAAGCGCCGTGGAGTGGAGTTGCTTTGTGGAGGTGTCATCGAATCCATCGTTTGCAGCCCAAGAAGGTTCATCGTGGAGCTGTGCCCAGTCTTTAAGAGAATGAAATCCCAAAAACCAAGAGGGAAACACACGTTCGTCATAAATATATAATATGATATGTCACTTGCGTTTTTGGGGACATGCTCTGTCTATATTCCATTCATCCCAACTTAGGTCATCTTAGGTGGCCTTTTTAGTTTTAGTAAAAGGACAACAGGTGAGGACGGTGAGGACCAACAACGAGTGCAAGTGTTGCATGAAAACATCAATCAACACCCAGCCAGTCATCCAACTACTCAAGCTTGGAAACGAACAACTCCAACGTCCGGGCACATGGCAAAAGCTCCCAGACTTTCGGAAGGTTCCATTCTGGGTGCAGCAATCGCCGGTGCCCACGCCCAAACCTCAGGCCGCGAACATTGACATGCCACCCTCGACAGAATGTCTATAGACCCGAGCGCTTTAGATAGAGATCTGGAAGATCTATTCACCATCTTCTGAAAAACCGGATTGTCTGTGACCCTCGCGCGCTTCGAAGCTGCGAATTTTCCAGTGTTTCTACACTCTTGTCTGGCTGTGCTCGGTACTGTGACTTTGCCAGCCCTTTATACAGGGACTGTATACTCTTGGGTGAATGGACGTCAGAAGTCGGGATTGACAATGGTGGGCTGCCAGTGGGCTGCTGGTCTTTCTAAACGATCCACATACCAACCAGCACCCGAAATCACAGGTCACCGACTGCCATCTTTGATCTCGACTGGTGCTGAAAAGGATTGTCTTTGAGAAGTGCCTGATTGGCTCTGGCCAAGCCTTCCCAGTACCGAATCAGCTCCACCACCCTACTAGTGGCCTAAACACGGCTTCACACAGCTCCACGCGGCATTTGCACAGAAAAAAACAACGAAGTCAACCGATCGACACCCTCTTTGACTTTACAGAAATCACTCCCAGGCTATCCGAGAATACCTGCCGGATCCACCACACACCCTCTGAGAGGGTGGTTGGAGATATATATATATATATGATTACGATGTAGGCTTGTAGGGGGTTAAATACCTTCTGAGAAGGTATATGTGAATCCCTACGCCTGGTGTGATGATGAATCGTCAGACCAAGATGTTGAGGGAGAATCCCTCTTCTGGGCAGGGCCGGTACTGATACACAACCTCGATCTCAAGGCGAGCTAATTCGACCCCCTGGAACTGCAGCACGGACACCAATGGGATGCACACCGTAGCCGTCAGGGGTGCAGAACTTGTTGGCGTCCAAAGTGCAATCCTTGCAGTACGTGCAGTTCTTGCCTCGGTCGAGACTGCATAGATGCAGTGTTGGGTGCTTTGCAGCTCTGGATTTCACACTCTGTATGGTCTGGAGTCAGAAACCTCAAATGAACTGAGAATTCCTCCTGCGGATCTTTAAGGTCTCTTACTTGCATATGGCTGCACCCCCAGCAAGATAATTCACATTACCAAGGAGGAATCTCGTGCCGAATCTCACTGCCCCACTGCAGCACAAGTCCTAGCAACGATCCGGGTAGGGAATATGTATGCATAACTGTATACATAAAATATGGTGTGTATAAATATATACATATATACACCTACATTGACCCTCAAAACATCTTAAACCTCCCAATGAAGCTAAAATAGTTGATTATGATTATATGCCATACATGGACTGTTGGGGGAGGAAACACCAAACACCCCGGGTTCCCGGTGGTTGTCAAACCAATCGAGGGAATCGAGGGACTGCCATCAGCACATTCGCACTCCTCCTGGTCCGTCAGAATTCCTGGGCTGCGCTTGGACTGTCAGTGGAACTCAGGAGGGGCACCGGCCAAGTGCGGAGGTGCCATGATCGGAAGTTTCAGGGCACCGTGACAGCAATCTGCGACTGACCTTCGCCATGCGGGGTGGAACGTGAGGTCGGTACAGGTTCGGAGGGTGCGGAGGGTCACAGCTCACGCAGCGGTGAAGTCTTAAAAACACAAAGCCTCTTTGGAGCGTTTTGAGTATACCTACAAACAATTCCGCCTCTTGGCTGGATTTATAGATGAACAGGCAGAATGCTCGCATCACTGGAACTACAAGGAGGTAGGGGTTTTGACGACGCTCAGGAGGTAGGGGTGAGGGCCCAGGGGGTCCGGACGAGGCACCGTTGCCACATTCGCCATCAAAGAGCCAGATGGCACCGCACTTGTTTTTCACCACCTGGTGAGAATGGCTCATGACTGACACGCTGTGCACGGGGCATTATGTTTGTTTGTTCAGAACTCGGAATGATGTTTTTAGACCTTTATGCGGGTCGATCTGTTCAGTTCTGCCTAAGATTAAGCAGCTTTGGCAAGAATGCTTGTACGATTTTACTGTTTGCTACATCTGGTCCCCACTGTACACGGCCCTACCCCTTAGCAGGTTGAAATCCCGTTGATGGACGAAGCACCTGGCACCGAAAGCGTGCGGGGCACATGCGGCAACCCCCGAGCCTGTGCACGACGCCTCTGGGGTGGCGCCATGTGGGTCACACGCTGGTCGTCCCGGCGGAGTCTAAGAGTACCGTAGGAAGAAACATGTGAATCAAGCGGTGCAGTTGGTCCACAAAAGGGGTGTAGGGAGGTTTAAAAAGATTAGGACCCACGCTCTCTTGTTCAGTTCTGCTCAAAGGCAGGATGGAACTGTGGAACGGTCAATTCCAAACACCTGAGACTGAAAAGCCCCTCTCTCTCTCTCGCGTTCCTGGGCGCCTGGTCCATCGTCTGGCACATCTTCTTCTTTCGGAATTGGGTGTTGAACTGGAATTTCCCATCCCTCAGCCGCAGCAGAAGGAAGCTCTGACAGGGAGAACGATAAAGCCTCGGCCTCTTTGTTTCTCTCCGATCAGATCAGCCCAAATTTCGGGCTCGCGGCGTTTCCCAACGCACGAGCCGGCATGAAGATGCACAGTGTAACATCGAGCCTTCTACTTGAGACATTTGCTCGTCAGATTCTTATCCAACGAGCGCACTGACTTGAGAGCAGTCGACCCGTTCGCAGACACCGCTGGTCAAACGAGCACCGTCATGAACCGAGACTGCCCAATTTGGACATCGCCTAGCTAGCCTAGCTGGTCTTATGGCTGAGTCGTTCATATCCCCAACTCCCTGGAACAGGTACAATACCATGCCTTAGGCATGGACCCCGAAAAAACCCTAGGTCGTCTAACGGACGAACTGTTCCAGTCCCAATGGCACTATAGCTTCTGGGTCTGCATTTTCCAACGAATTCCCACCAAAGAGCAGTTGTCCATCACCATAGTCCATGATGCCACCCGTCGTCCCTTGGCCCAGCTCGAAGGAATGTTCTCCTGACCAAAGATGAACCGGGAAACACCTTGGGGAAAGCCAGATCCCCCAGACACGACCTGGAAATGGACATTACTGAAATTCGCCAAGACCACAAGACCATCAGTGGGACAATTGCCATTTTTTGGTCGTCATGTCTTGGATTCTTTTGGGGGAAGTGCCAGAAGTGAGAGGATTTGCCTGGAGCTGATGCTCTGATCGCATACCCGCCACCACTCGTCAGTAAGTCGTCAGCGGCCAGCCTCCAAAGATGTGCCCAGTCTCGTGTGCAAAGGTGATCCAGGTTCCTTGTGGAAATCAGGTGTGAAAAGTGTCCATGGTTGATTTTCCATCAAAGTGTTTTTTCCTCAGGGGCCTATTATACCCGTATTGGTGGTAGACTGTGTATATAATATATATATATATATTTGAATACATCTTTGATTAGTCAGGTCACCTTGCTTGAAGACAAGGCGCGAAAGTTGTGCCATACCACGGCGGTGTTCCTGGGTACGGACAAATCAGCCCTCTGCAGAGTGCCCCCCCGCCCACCCTGTTCCATCCGAAAAGTTTACAAAATGTTGGCAACTCCAAAACCAGGGTCATACAGCAGGTGTTTCCATGCAAGAGAGATCTCTCTCTCTGATCTATCTATATATAATTTAGCTGATTTAATATGATTTAACTATATTATATATATATGCATATGTCAGGGCTCAAAGCATGAAGCTCTACCACACATGTTGCCCATCCAACACTTGGATTGAGCATGTGCTACCGAACCGAGCTAGCGCCCCTCCGAACCGACGCGCCAAAGCACGGCCGTTGGCCCCAATAGTTCCTTGGCGCTGAGCAAGCTGAACCAAAGGGTTCAGCTTGAAGCTCTGAGTAAAGGCGTGCTCTAGTAGCTCTAAAATCCTTCTATTCTACGGTAGTCTGTCTTAACAGCACATTCAGAATTTCTACACATTGATGGATGGTGGCACGGCTGGCAGGGTGAAAGAGTTAACAAACATTGGCCCATGTCATTGATGTATACTCCAGCCTTGGGCTGTAGAATCATCCATAGTGAAGAATGCTGGTTCCAAAAGATTGTGATTCTCCAGCTTTTGGATGTCTGCCAAGGCGCTTTTCCATCTGGCAAATTGTACCCACATAAGCGAGGCCGATAGTCCCAGACTTGAAGCAATCCTCAGCAAGAACAACTTGGTCTGCTCCATGCTCAGCTCCCAGCTAGGGTTCAGGTGTTCGACTGCTTTGCCAATGAGTTGATCATCCTGGGGTAAAAGGCCACATTCAACCCTCTGCGCGCAAGAAAGCAACATACGTATATATATATATATATATACACCAGCAGGGTGCTTGGGAAAGAACAATAGTTTCTATCAGTGTAAGGAACCTCTGGTGCCAAGTTGAAGGGCATCTGATTTGCCCTACAATTTCCAGAATGGGCATCTTCCATACAACATGTGCATCATCAACCCATGACGGCATAGATTTTTTCAGCCTTTGAAGGGGTTCATTCTTCCCATTGGCTTGCCGTGAGAAGGATGGATGCACATCACACCTAAGAATAAGTCAAAGATGAACACGAACTATGTCACCGTCATAGATGGCCACATCAATCCCCCCCAAAAGAAAAACTAACACACACACACATGCATTATGCATACACACATACTCTGCAACCTTGGCTGCCACGGCTCATCCAGCAAGGTCCAAATGCCTCGGGGTCCGAGCCACGTCCGACGTCCGGTGCTCTGACGCGACGCGGCCGAGTCACAGTCTCCACGGCCGAGGTCGGCAGTGGGACGCTACCTAATAAGGTCGTTGATATAGGTGTTTCTCCTTCAAAGCCATGCAGCTAGAAGCGCATGGTGACCCGATTTTGGAGCCCAACATACTGTGGTATGATCAAAAGCCAATGTCAAAGGGGTTGGGTTCTATGTGCGAGGTGCGCAAACAATATTCTGAGTGGAGTGGAATATGTTTTTTTACATCGACTGGTGAGAATCTTGCGTCCATGATCCTTTGAAGGTGGGTGTGCCTGTAAACCACCAGCAAGCAGCACCCAAAGTCAATTTGTCCAACATACCCCGGCAAAGACAAATTGGGACTGGACAATTTACCTACACGAGTGCAATAGGACCCTGATCCAACATCTTAAACGTTCCCAATGTAGCTACAGGCTGGTTGGGGTACCCTCTTTCAGCCATCGGTCCACATCTCCTCAAAGCTCCTGGCAATGGTCAGCAGGTCTTCCCTCATCCTGACGTCCAGCGTCCAAGTGACCTTGACCCTTGGAATCCACATCCTTCGACCTCGGCAGCGTCGACTGGGAATCTGGAGGTCTTTCCCAGCTTCTCGCACATAACCCCTAAGGCTTAAGGGTCCAGGACCATCCTGAGGATGGTCTTGGAGGTGAAAGTACTTCCTGAGAATGGTCTTTGGGGCCAAAGGACATTCCTCAGGATGGTCCTGGACCCTTAGGGAACAATAATGATACAATCTTTGGTACTTTTATAGACTATCATTACCTTTGATATCCTTTCAGGCCGTTTGCCCTCCAGATTTTGCAACACCCACGCCAATGCTGTGCACATGTTAACATTTGGTGGCCCAAAGACGCCAAGACCAAGCACTTTTTCCACCAGCACGATCATCCACACCACACCCCCATCTCGCCCAAGAAAGTGACCCTTGCATAGGTACCCTTGAGCTGATCTATCCCAGATTTGAGCTATGCAAAGAAGACGATTACACTCCCAGGAATCATGGTCATTACTACCCACTCATGGACAGATGGGTTCTATCCCCGGAAGACTACTACTATACCCACTCATGGCGACGTGGATGGCACCACCGGATTGGCTCTTCGGATGTCTTCGTCATCCTTTCGGGCCAGGCCCATGGCCAGGGCGTATCACGGTGAACGATGTCACCAGGTCACCGCCCCCGGAACCCGTGTCCTCCTGACGCGAGTCTCGGCCCGAGTCTCGGCCTGGTTTCGGCCGGGGGCCATCGGTCCGAGGGACCCAGGAGGATCCCACTTGTCGAAGCGGTGCAGTTGGGTGTCAATGCCAAAAGGACACGTCTCGCCTCCAGACGTGGCGGCACGAGCGGAGCGGAAGAGCACGAGGAGAGCGGAAGGCGGGCTCTCACTCAGCCAGTTCTTCATGAAGGTCGGAGCAGGTGCTGCATGGTGGGTCATGAATATCTATCAGCACCTGGTTCACAAGGGAACCTTGTGAGAAGAAGCCTTCACCTCATGATTCACACGTGTCCATTTCAAGACTTTCCTTCATCCTTGGCTGCACAGATCCGGCTTGATCTTAGATGTTTTATCGAGTCAAAACCACATGATGAAGGACTGGAGGCTGGGGCCCTATTCTCGCCAACTCTTGTACCCCAAGGTGCTGGGTCCAACGGTCACCCCTGACAATCGGAGGGTCCAAGTATAGTATAGTCTTAGATTATAATCCCGAGAGCTCCAGCCACCTCCTGAGAAGGTGGTTGGGGTGGGTTTGGGGGGTCTAACCATCTTCTAGGGAAAAGGATGAGTCCCGATCCTCCACATCCTCGCTCATCCCATTGACTGTAGGATGCACGGCCCATCTCTGAGGAGTGCCTTGGTCCCAGTCTGGCGCATCGGTCTGGCTGATCTGCCTCGGTCCAAGCTGCAAGTCACGGCAAGCTGGGTGCTTGGGGAGTGCTCTCCAGATCTGCCGTCGTCCACTCAAATTCCCGGAGCAAGACACCTCTTAACTCCTGAAGCTACATGGATCTGCATGCATGTAATCTGCATGTTCCACCGAACATCCTCCAACTCCGATGCCACCGCCCAACAAACATGGGAGATCCCGCTCCAACTCGGCACCGCGAGACTACAGAGCACCGCGATTCAGAGCAGCCATCCTCGTTCAGCTGGGAGGCAGGTGAAGCATGCGGCAGACCAGCACGAAGTTCAGCTGAGGTCGGTAGATGAGATTGGCGGAGCCGAAGATCTGGGCAGAACTCCGTGACTGTCGCGGCGGTTAAAGTACGCGCGGCGAACGTACGCGACTACCCAGTCTCCCAGCGAGTACGAGGGCACTGGATGAGGTAGCGGCTGGATGCTGCTGGGCTGTAAAAAAAAGGCAGAAACACAGGCCCCTAAGGATCCACATATACCTTCCGAGAATGTGGTTGGCGTCCTTTCTGAGGATGGGCTCAGATTCCATAACCAGGGGTCCAACAAACAAGTCACCCTATTGAATCTTGAGCTACACGCCAGATTGCACTGCTCGGGCTATTGGAATGGGTCGAGACTGTCAGCAATGCTCCACCACCAACTGGTCATGATCAGCACTATTTTTTTCCGACGTTTGACTCATGCCTCTACAATCCAGTTTTTCGAACGAACTCATAAAACCAATACACATACAAACCCTTCCCCACAAGCCCTTGCTGAAGCCCCTTACAGCACACGGACTCAGTCACCAGTTTGACTGCTCAGCCACCGGACTGACGGGACATGCGATCGTGACTGCCGACTGCCGGTCTCCAGCCTGGACGACGTAGTCGATGGCTTCGTCCTGGCTGAGAAGGGAGCCACGTGGCTTGGAATGCACTCGGCGTAAGGCGTAGCACTCGGGACAGGGATTGTGATCACATAGCTATAGTGACATAGCAAACGTGACTTTTTGAGTGACTTAGCTAGTTTTGTGAGTGAGTGAGTGAGTGAGTGAGTGTGACATACAGTATAGGTCTTTGCATGGAGTGTTGAAATATGTCCCTCCCGTGATGGTCACATCCCCTTTCCTTGCGTTTTCCGGGCTCAGTCCTAAACCCACCTCAAAGGACTACAATTGAATTAGAGCAACAATGCGTGTCAAGCTTGCGGCTTGGATAAGGCGGGAATGCGTTCACTATCACTTATTGAGATGATCTATACTTGTTGAGCGCTTTGACCGCTTGTCCCTTCCAGCCTTGGTGCTGAATCTGGAATAAAGTTTGGAGCCCATCGCGACTCCCATGCCCAAAGCATGAGTCTCTCCGTCGTTCTCATAGCAATCCTGACAGTGGGGATGAATGAATGATGGGATGCTGAGCATGCTGACAGCTTAGCGAGATCACCACAAACCAATCAATGAAATTGACTTCGTTTAAACATCCATTTCGACATCCTTGCTCTAGAATGAGGATCCCAAAACGCATTTCATGGTCAAATCAGTGACATGTTATAGGGTCCAAAGCACCTCACCGGGTCCAAAGATCACCGGCCCAAGGAATATAGCCCGTTGCAGCCGACGTCCAGTCAAAACACTGGCACAACTCAACGAGAAGCGAAACGAAACGAGACACGCTGAGGCTTTGAACCTCCAAAATCGACAGAAACCACCCAGAGCGATGGCCTCCAACCTATAAGATACAGTAATGGCCTCCAACCTAAGAGCGATGGCCTTCAACCTGAGAGTCTTGAGGTGTTCGGATGGAAATTGGGTGGAAACCTGTCGGTGCTACGTACCGTGGTCTCATTGCTGTTGCCCTCCGGAGGGAAATAGGTTTCGATGGGTTTCATTTTTAAATTGAGCTCTTCTAGTAGCATGACCTTCAAGAACACAAAAACAAATAAGTTGAGACGGCTGACAAACAGCCAGCCAAATCAAATGTTGATTCACAAATAGCGGGAAGTTGTCCCATAATGTGACATTGGTGCACTATTCCACAAGATCATCTGAAACAAAAACAGTAATATAGATCGATCGATCGATAGATAGTTAGTTAGTTAGATAGCAACAAGAACATGGAACAGTCCACAGAGTTGAATGTATTCCATATTCTGCTTGAGAACATGCATCAAGACACGTCCAACTTGTAGGCCCACGACACCGCATGTCATCCAAGGTGCAGTCCATCGTTCTGGTAGGCTCAAGGGTTTCTGCGCCGCCACCTCCGCTGCGGCCTGGAGGGATCCACTGAACCCGCTGAGCCCTGGATGGTCAGTTGATTCAGTGGAAGGAGTGCAATGAAAGGTCAGGTCTCCCACAAAGACTGCAAACAACCTTCCTGGACCTTCAAGGGGTGTCCTATCTGGAGGTCCCTTAGTGGTGGGCTGGGGGGAAACCAGCCAGGTGACCTCGACATGAAGGTGCTGGTTGATAATCTCTTGTTATCCTCAGGAAGTGTACCTATAAAGATATGAACTGTCCAGATACATCTACCCTGCGCGTAACCTTATGATCCGTCCTTGAGGTACTCTTCATCGCTCTTCCCGGTGCTGACTGTCAGGAGGCTTTGGCCCTTGGTCAGCTCTAAGTCCAGGTAGGCCTTGAACCAGTCGAGGAGTGGAGTTATTGGGGCTCGAAAATGCCCCACCCAAATGTGGCGAAGGCGGGGGAGGGATTTGATGGTATTTGCTACCCCGATCTGCAAAAGAGTTGACCAGCGTCTAGAGTCTAGATAATTGCAAATTTCCGCTATATAGGCCGGGTCAATCTAGATCGCAAGGGCTCATAGATCTAAGGGTGCTGTGCTTGATGATTTGATGAACATCTTAAGGTGTGCGAAAGCTTTGGAGTGTTCTTGGAGTCGTTGGGAAGAAGGCGGAGGGACTTGTGAGAAGGCTTGATTGTGGGGGGTTCTCACTGCCGTACCAAAAGGAGTTGCCAACGAAAAAACATATCGCAAATTGAAATTGTCGCAACATAACTCTAACATGATGTGTTATGTTTGATCATTTTCCCCAAATAGGAAGAGGTAATTGTGGTAATTGTTACTTTAAGTATGGGAAGAGATGCCCATGCGCGTTTTGGAGTCCTGGTGCCGGTGCCGCTGCAGGGTGCTGCTGGGTCTATGCTTACGGCCGTACGCTTTGTTTTTTTTTTGTGCTGGTGACTGCAGGTTGCCGCTGCCCACATGTCGTGATGGTATGCGGTATAGGCTTGGTGCAGGGCGCTGCCCACAGGTGTTCTCCTGGGGTCGCGGGCAGCGCCCTATCCATCCCCAGTCCCCATCCGACGACCGAGGAATCGACACCGACCGAGGTGCTGTGCCGCGTCGGACCAGGCCGACGACCCGGTCACCCACAGAGGTCAAGATCGCATGGGGTCCCGCCTGCGGAACGAGGCAAACAAGAAGGCCGTTGGCCGAACGCGGAGAAGGCTCGTTTTGGGGCCTCGGTTTGGGTGGCTTTTGGGGCTGATGGGGTCAAAACGAGCCCCAAACCAGGGTAGGTGGATCCAAAGTTTCCAGATCTTCCTTTGGAATGGGGTGTCCACAATCATCCAAAAAAACCTCAAGGTAATCCACTGAGTGGGTGTAGTAGTGTTTTTTCCATAGCACTGAGGTAGGTCATCTGGAGATGCTTTACAAAGTTGTGTTCGTTCCATTGGTGCGGTTGGGAAAACATTTTGTTGGTTGTTCTCTCTGGCTTGACGGATAGTTGGAACACTATGAACATCTCCCCACGCAAAAAAAACAAAAAAATGTCCCTGCAGGCTCTACCTTAAAGGTATTGGATGAAGGCAAGGAGAATGACCAGTTCTTTGTCTCAAATGACCAGCTCTTGGCCTCAAACAGTTTCAAATGACCAGCCCGTCCAAACATGAAACGAACCAGGTGGTCACCAGCCCCGAAAAACGTGTCTACCCATCTTCCATGACGTCCCGCCACTGCCAAAAACTGCGCCGTGCTGTCGTGAGTCACATCCCCATATAGAAAGTCATGGGTGAGGTTGGGCCCTAAGTGCGCGCGCGTGTGCGCGTGCGCGCGGGTGTGTCAGTGTGTGTGTGTGTGTGTTTTTGGCACAGTCTGTTTCTAAGAGTTTTAACTTGCTGATTACCATCGCAGGGGGATCAGGCTTCCAGTGACTAACCTGATCCAACGAAGCTGGGTCACTGGAAGGGAAGTGGTTGAGGACGCTCAACCATGTACCTGCGCTTTGAACTGTTGAACACGCTGTTGCAATCTTTCCTTCTTTGTTACCATGGTCCTTGCACGATATTCCCCAAAACACTTTTCAGCTGAAGTGTCGCTGCGCCACCGCAGGCCGCGCGAGAGTTGACCGCTGAGTGAAACAATGGTTCAACATTCAGTTGACTGCGGACTTTGCCACCTTTCCGTTCCAGCACCTTTTTGACCTGGGAATTGAGTTAACTGAAAACCCATTGTCAAAGTGTGCAAGTGTGCATAGAACACCCATGACACGTCATAACACCCAGTTAGAAGGAACCACATGGAAAAACAAAACCCTTGGAAAGGAAGGGGAAGGTCAGACTCAGAGAACTGGAAAACACCGAACCCCAAACCTCTTAGACCAGAATCAGATGCACAAGGGTCTGATGCAAGTGGGTACTGCAAGGGAGTCAGGGGCCATTACTGCAAGGGAAGGTCCATCAAGGCAGTCTTAAAGGAATGGCAACCAACAGCCACGCTCAATCTGCTCCAGGCGACATAAATATGTCGGTCCCGCAAGTGCCAGTGCTGGTCACCATCGCTGGTACCCACCGTCAGCGTGGCGTCACGAGCCAAAGGCCCCCGGCGTTTCCTGGGGAGGGGCGATTGACACATATTGACACGATGTCACCTGATGTCCCTACCAAGTTACGGATAAGTGACCTGAACGTTCGGACCCGTCACCAGGGGTACCCAACTAGGATAGTCTAGTTTGGGAGTTCGGGTTCTTCAACCTCTGCTGGGTGGTAAAAAAAGGTGCACACACACACAAATCGTCCACAGGTTGCTCTTTGATGCATGGCGGGACTGGGGAGCCCCATGTTGTTCTTTTGGTTCGGCAGGAGTCGAAGGACGCACAACCCGTGAGGACTCCAACAGTGGCGTGGCTTCAATGGGATCTGTCCCATCACATATATATATATAAGTATATATATATATATACTATAGATAGATGAGGTGATGCAATGGGATTGAGATGCATTGTGCCATCTACCCTGACACCAAACTCATCCGAAACGCCAAGAAACCCATGTCACGAACGCCAAGAAACCATGATTGGTCACACACCACCGAAAACGCCACACATTCACCGACGGTGGAGATGGATGGCATGACGCAACACCAGGGCCTTCAGGCCAGGACGCTGGAACATCAGGTCGATGCTGTGGCCGTGGGCGGAGAACTTCAATCTCAGTTCGGGCTCTCAGTTCGGTGGGCAAACAAAAAGGCTAGCTGCTAGTTATAAGGCCCTGGTATGGTATCATATGCCGACCCACCATAACAAATACAACTTATAACAACCCTATATCGGTCTACACACCTTGTCAGAAAAGTACTTGGACCTTACAAACCTGCATAAAAGCGTCTCCAATCACCTTTTAAATTGATGACAGTGGATCCATAGGGCAACATATGGAATGGTGATGTCTCAAGCGGCCCAAGAGGTGCAAGATTTGGTTCAGCTTTGGCCTGGAATTCTGGATGGTCGACTACCCAGAGTAGACTGACATGGGCCTTGAATATGGATGCCGAAGACTCCTTTCCTCTACGGCCCAGTGGTTTTCAAGCTGTGAATCACCCGGAGGGTAGTTCACAAGTTCCAAACCAATGACCGATGCCGAAATGACTAGCCTCCGAAAACAGGGGTGCCCACCATCAATGCGCTGCAGCTGTGGTCCCTGTGGTCTCTTCAGGCTAGCGGCTAGCTGCTTGGTGAAAATCCTATTTGTCTTGTTTCACTACGCTGGCACAGATCAAAGCTTCTTGACTCTTCACCTTGTTAATGTCAGGAGGTATTTGAAGAACACAAATTCCAAATAACTGTTGTATCGGTATCAAGCATGTATTGATATTTCCCACGATGCCAGAACGCATCTTTGTCACCCACCGGACCGCCATCATCCAATGGATCACAAGTGAAGCACCAAATCAAATAAACAACAAATGGGCACACGGATGCACACAGGACGCAAACCCATCCCAAGATTGCAACAAATCAGCAAACACATGGTGAAAACAACCACCGAACAAAGATTCAGCGAAGAAATGAACCACATGTCAGTCAGGATCACCCCCCAAGAAGTCAGGATCACCCCCCAAGAAGTCGGGATCCCCCCCGAAGAAGTCGCAAAGGCATTCCAGCACAGTGAACACCAGTCCTTGGACCCCATCACTCTAGCTCAATGATGCTCAATGGGCATTGCCTTGTGTGCTTTTTGGGTCCCATTCCCTGTAAACAGTGGATGATGGTTAGTAAAGGCCTTAATCAAAAGTAGTGATCATTGTTTGTCAACTGTTACAGGTAATGGGACAGACCCAAGGCATGGTTCAAACCCACCGAAACCATCGAAATCAGCTCGAGAACACCAGACTTAGCCTCCCCCTCCCAACTTAGCCAAGTCAACCGAAGGCCGGAAGTCTTGGCATCACCCAAATGTGTCTGTCCTTGGGCAAGTGGAGCTGGAAATGCCAAGTGGCCTCAGAAAAAGTATAGATTAATTGATTAATCAAAACCTCGAGGCTTTGCAATCCATGTCTGGGGTGATTATTATGAAGCAAGAGTCTAACGTTTATTGAAGGAAGATCCATTGGCATCCGGATTTTTCAATCAGCTTGATGTCTCCAAGAGGCCGCGCTTCTGCAGAAGCGCCGGGTGTGCCTCGAAGAGGTCCTGCCCCGACTCAGCATCTTCCAAGGAGAAGTGGACTTGCACCTCACGACGCTCAAGCAACGCGTCGCTTCGCAATGGAAAAAGCCGGTTGGGAAGAGTCTAGAGTCTGGAGGTCTTTTGAGCTCACACTCTGAGATTGCACATTTCTAGCATACTGATAAAAGGGGCATCAATTTTTCTGAGCTTGGTGGGTCTCCAAACACACGCCATCGCTGGTTTCCAGCAGCAGGTTGCACAAATACTGTGCAGCTGCTTGCTTCCACATAAAGGAAGCGTCCAGGTCTCGTGGAGCGTCCATGATATCTCCATAACGCCGTATACGTCCCCTCCTGGAACTGTAGCGTAGCCTACCTGCTAAAGAAAGCATATAAGTTTCCAAACTCCTGTGAGACTATTGTTTATTTGGGGAATGTCATCTTTCATTGAAGAGCTTGTGGCCAATTGCTTTTAAGGAAGCTATGAAACATATTTTTGGATAGGTTACGGCGGTTACGGTTAGGGTTACTCAGGAAAATCCTCCGGACAAACTGAAGCATGCTTAAGTCACGTGTTACTCTCCTACAGGGACGGGGAGCTTCATGAACTCATGCAATTCATGATGCTGGCTGATCAACGCCCCACGCAAAGTGAGTTGGTTTGGTTGAGTTCAGTAATGCCCCAGCCAACTAACATGGATCCAGTGGCTTTGGCACCAGGAAAGTTTTCCTCAAACCCGTGGTGTTCATAGGGTAAATCTTGGCAGTTCTGCCCACTCACTCTCGGTGTAGCTCTGATTCCAAAAACATTATTCTGGGCATAATACAGGCGTTCGAGCTGGATCCTGGCGCAGTGTATATACCGTAATGAAAGAACAGGAGGATTCCAAAATCTACGGGTTTTCTTTGTTCTGTTTTGGCATCGTTCTCTCTCTCTCTCTCAATCTTCATGTCTCCCCTTTTCCATCGCCTCCAGACTGCTGGTGCCAGGTTTGGGCAAACAGGTGATACATCTGCTTCAATCAGCAAACAGGCATCGTATGTTTTCCGGTGATCCTCTCTTGCGCTTGTCCGGAGTGCTGCACACAGGAACCACACAACACCGGCTCCATCCATCATGCTCGGCAAAATGCAGCGTTGCCGATGCACAATTGAATGCGATGGGAGGACAAAAACTGCAAATAGAACGGCCCGGATCACAAACGTTGAAGCTGAGCATGTGCCTCGCTACTGTCGCCTCCATACATTGGATCACCCCAGGTTACAAGGGTTCCGTCACACAAAACCACTGCAAAAGCACGCTGTGATGCCTGGATGGCATGCACATTGATCAACCGATCCTTAACGTGACTGCTGTCACCTCCAAATGCTGGATCACCCCATGTGACAACAGATCCATCCTCCAAAATGGCAGCAAAAGCACATTGTGATGCCTGGACATTCTGCACATTGACTAGTTGACTTTTGACCTTGCTGCTGTCCCCTCCACAACCAGAAGCACCCCAGGTAATGACAGATCCATCTAGCAAAATCGCAGCAAAAGCACGCTGTGACGCTTGGATCGTGCGCACATTGATCAGCTGATGTCGAATGAGGCTGATGTCACCTCCATATGCTGGGTCACCCCAGGCCACAACGGATCCTTCTGCTAATATTGCCGCGAAAGCGCGCTCTGAAGCCTGCAAAGATTGCACCTGGACCAGCTCATCTCGCGCAGCACTAGCGTCACCGCCGGCATCTGCAGCTCCCCAGGTCACCACTGATCCATTCGCTAAGAGTGCTGCAAAAGCAAAGCCTGACGCCTTGATCCTTAGAGGGCACGGGAAAGATTCACATGGAACCTGATGGCATGAACTTGCAAGGGTCAAACAATGTTTTTCTCCACAATCCGCATGGTTTTCAGGTTCCAAGTCATTTCTCTTCCAGGGCGTTGTGTGGTTATACAATTACAAACGTCCCCAAGGCTCATGCACACGAGCTGCTGCTACATGTTGGTGGTGCCAAAACATTTTGAGGGCCTTGGCACCCGGACCGCAAAGGGGTTGGGTGCTTTTCTGAGCTTTTGGGGTTGGGAGAAAACGAATATGGACCGTCAAGGCGGCCTGGGGAGACGAAAAAAACATCCTTCGCTCAGTCTGAAATCTGTTGTACATCTTTGAGCTGATCTTGCACCTCACAAGTGAGATTTGGATATCCCCAGGCAGTGACAGATCCATCAGCCAAGGTGGCGGCAAAAGCTGCATGCGATGCTTGGATCTGCTCCACATCCTGGAACTGTTTGGGATAGAATCTGACTCACCCTCGCCTAGAGACCACTGTAGTCAGCGTTCTCCTATCAACAATGTTGTATGATGTTTCTTTAAATCAACAACCATTCTCACAACTTTCATGGATTTGTCGAGCTACTTTAAAGCCAAACAAAGGGTTCACGAAGCGATCATTGTGCTCAACTCCTTCAACCATTGATTGCAGCATTCCAAGAATCGGCCACAACATGTGTCCCACGAATTGCTTGGACAGTCGGCTCAGTGGAAATGACAAATCCTACAACTGTGGTATCTGTATACAAACAATATGTTTATCTAAATTCATATAGTTTTATCCCTATCTAAAGTTACACTTAAAGCCCTACAGTATGTACGTACTTATGAACGTGTGTATATATATATATACACGTCATCCGCGCTGGATCCTGACTTCACTGATCTTCAGTAAGCCCTCTGGATCATCACGGCTCTGGAGAACATCTTCCCTGTCTGTTTCCTTGCCGGTCCTGCAGCCGTTCAGCGAGCTCCATGCTGTTGCCTCCCAGCTCGGGATGCCCCCAGGTGACCACGGATCGATCTGAGAGGATGGCAGCAAAGGCAAAGCCTAGTGGGCAAAGGAGATTGAGATTGAGTGAGCTCCTAAAAATATCTTAAAAAACAAAGTTAGTTGTCTTGGCCCAGAAGCTGTGAAGCCAATCCCCTTTGCTGGGATTTGGACCCTCACAACCAAGGGTTTTTGGGACCCAACATGTAGCAGCGTAGCAGTTTTTCTCGTGTCTAGGGCCACCTCTCAAGGGCAAAAGAAGAATTTAAGAAAATATGAACGGGGTCCAATTGGATCAGCACGGATCACATTGGATCAGATCCAATCCTGAACGGAGCACTGGATCCTATTGGTGGTACGTACACTTTGGGGCGTGAATTGGTGGTACGTACACTTCGGGGTGTGAATCAGCACGGCCGAACCAAGGCCATTCAGGGACGGTGGTGAATGCGTAAACAATACACTCCCTGGAATCATCATGGAAGTAAGATCTGGAAGATTCCTGAAGACGATTTTCCCCTGCAAACAGGTGGTTCGGTGGTTTTCAACTTGTAACTGTGGAACACCAGGTGCAACTGTGTACAGTACACAGCTGTTTATTTTTTGCTGTGCCCGTAGCTGAGGTCTCGCTGGTCTCTGATCGATTGGGTCATGTTTGGATGCAACAGGTGTCTTGGAAACACTGAAAACAACAACAACAACAACAACAACAACAACAACAACAACAACAACAACAACAACAAGAACAACAACGTCATGGGCTCACCTGAACGCGTGACCTGCCTGAGGCTGAGATCTTTTCTACCTTTGTGAGCTGGTCCTTCACCTTCCAGCTGCTGCCTAGCACAGGTTGCAAGGTGATCTTCCTACGATGCTGTAGTCCTAATAACCTGCACCCAGTAATCACCGGTTATATCAATTCTTCAGTTTCTTCAGCAACGTCAAGTTCTGAGTGGTGACAGTGACTGAAAGGAAGTCAGTCTCAAAACAAGTGTACTCTTCAACATTCTTCAACCACTGAGATCTGGCTTTGCATCACAAGCCCCGCTCCATGTTGCAAAACAACTCCGGATGGACTGGGACGCATGACGAGCCAGGACAGTTCAAATGCACCCAAACATACCTCCCCATAGCCTCCGTATCGTGGGTCCCCCCACGTAACCACACCACTGCCACAGTACCACAAGGCAAAGGCATGATGTGTCGCCACCAGCTGGGGTTCTTGCACGATGCCCGTGACTGTATCTCCATCCGAAAGCCCGGTGTCTGGAAGAACTTGCCGACTTTGGAGCTGCTGCCCACCAGGCGTCATCAGTCGCAAACATGGGATTCCGAAAGCTTCTTGGGCCTCAGCCAGGTCATTTTCTTGACACCGGGCTGATTGCGGTGGAACACACATGCACATATATTAAAGTCCATGACCAACAAGAGTTGTCACATGCGCACACACTCCATCTAAACCGGTTGCGTCCGGAATGGACAAGTTGCAGCCTGCTGCAGCTCACACACGGTGGAGCTGTGTGAGAATGGAATGCATACCTTGGATTTTGGCTCAAGGGACCAACGCATCAAACATTCTCCAGATTCCTATCAGGACCGCTCGACCACAGAATTGCTTCCCCTTTCGCCCCAACTGCTCCGTTCAAGACGACCTAGTCCTTCCAGCGCCTTTCAGCCGGAGTGGAAGCGCCAAGTCACAGAACGGCCACTGGGCAAAGACACGTAGAGGTGCAAGGTCGGAAGCTCCAGCCCTTGTTCCCCAGGGCAGCTCGCAGCTTCGTCCGCGCTCGCAGCTTCCGTGTGCAGTGGGGTGGGCGAGCGTGAACGATCCGTTGCCATGGCGGCTTGGGTTCAATCGGGCCCACTGGGTGGAACATCGAATGATTGAATTCTTGGACTTCCAGGGAGGTCCACAGGGCCAATCCATGGTCTTGCCTTCCAAAGCCGCGCTTTGGAGCCAGTGTTTGATATATACCATACGATGCTGCAACTCAACTATACGTTCTACTATTTCCATGTGTGAGAAAGTTGTAAGGAGGGCTTTTCATGGTTGGTAAGAAGGGACCTGCCAGGGTGCCGCGAGGGACCGCTTCTGAAAGGACCAACTGGCGTATACGGTGTATGGTGTATGAGGCTCACTTGCATGAGATGTCTAAGGGATCAGTGTACAGTGCTGACGCTGGGATGGCACCGAACACTCCATGCTCAGCCATGTTGCTATGAATCAACCGAACACTCTCTTTGGAGTGGAGTTGGATCCACAAAGCACCAGCCAGATGCTGGGACCGGTGAACAAACAACGACACTTGGCACACAAACTCAGAGTCCTACACCACCGGATGACCCAACCAAGCTCAACCCATCTCACATGTCCTGACGCGTCCCAGCCACCTTTCAATGACGTGGGTTTTCTGCCAAGGAACGCTAGAGAGTGCTTCTGGCTCAAGTACGCTGGCGGTCTTCAGCGTCCTCAGTCTGAACTCCAGCCCAACAAAAACGAAGCACATATATAGATCGACAGCTAAGTTCACCGTTTCAGTTTCAGCCCAAAACCTTCACTCAATGACTACATATGGTGAGATGTCTGATGATTGCTGTACAATTTTGTTGTGTTTTTGGCATCTTGCTCAATCAGTCTGCATCAAATGACCCAGCAAACATCTGGTCAGGTGCATATAATATACAATCAAACTATTAGTAAAATACATACACACTCTGTCTGTATATGTCTGTATTATACGCTGTGCATGTGCATTTGGGGTTTGCCCCTGGGGTCCAAGAGCGCAGTCTTCCAGGCAAATACTTTCAGTAGCTCAGTAGCTCCAGGGATTTCTTGGGTGACAATGGTGGACACCCGATGGCAGATTTCTCCCAAACCGTCAAGTGATACTCCTTAGGATGAGGGGCGCCCCTGGTCATGTCATAGATCCATATTGGATACATATATCCCATATGATCCTAATACCAGGTTTCAGCGGGATGATGATGGTTAGTAAAGGCCTGGTTCAAAAATGTATACAATTAAATAGTGATAATTGTTTACTAAGTGTTACAGGTTTACTGGGACAAACCCAATATAGATCCATGATCCATACAACTATCCGTATCATACCTCACCTGTCGGTGAACACCTCATCCACCCAACTTCTCACTTTCCTGGGGAGGATTCACGGAAACACCCAAATCAATTGGTTTAAGTGAACATCTACAGGATACCTCAGGAAATCTCAGGTCTTCACCCACAAACTGTGGGTGTCCTGTAGATATTCCTTGAAACCTATTCCAGGACCGACTTCCAACCAAAACCATCCATCTTCACCCAAACGTCGATGCGTGCACTTGCATGAACTCTTGTACGTCATCTTCACAATTCACCTGACCGCTCCGGAGGTGAGTCGCTTTTGATCTAACGTGTTGGCTGATACCAGTTGCGATGCCCTTGTTACTAGTAGCTTATATATAGTTACTAGTAGTAATGCACTTGTTACTAGTTGAGTAATGCACTTGTTACTTGTAGCGATGCCCTTGATACTAGTAGTTAGTAGTGCACTTGTTACTAGCAGCGATGCACTTGTTACCAGTAGCACAAGGAAACTGACTTCGGCCATTTGTCCGCTTTCGTTTCAATCAATCATCTTCACCGTTCCATTCGATCGTCCGTCACAGCTCCTGCCGATCCACCACGCCTCTTCGGTGCGCGAGAGCGTGAGCAGGAGGAGTCCACAAATTCGGTACCTAAGGAGACTGGACGACCGGACATCGTCCCATCGGACAAGCCGGGTTACGGACGGGTTCCGGGTTCCCATGGCCGGCTGAAGACGTCATCGACTCTCGGCCAAGTCTGGTTTCATATAGGCCACATAGGACGCCTGCAGCCTTGATACATTGGGTTTTATGGCACTTGAGAAAATACATGCAGTTGATTGATATCTACTTCACATGCTTTCAATGCTGACAAAGTGTGGGTTCCATACGGCTTTGGTCTGTTTATACCAATGGCTACGGCCGGCCGTCCAGTTTCTGATCCGGTCCGAGGTTTTCCGTGCGCCACTGACGAGGACAAGAAGCTACGAAAAGCGAACGAGGCAAGAAGCAGCGAGTGGGGCGCTCCTGGCAGCTCCTACTAGGAAGAAGAAGTTATAAGAAAGTAGCAATGTTTCAACAATATCAGTCAGCTTTGTGAACTTCATATTGGATTTCGCACCTACATTCGCGAACAAAAGCTATAGAAGTGCATACACCTTTGAGGTGGGTGGATGGGTGTGGAGCTGAGTGGAGTTCAATTCCATCACCTGCTTCAGTGGCTTCGCATGATTTAACTTAGAGATTTCACTGGCTTTTGTCAACCAAGATCCAACCTCAAGCGCTGAATTTCTAGAACTCTCGGCTTCTGCCAGTTTCTCTACGACTTCTGTGACATACCGAGACACTGATTTCTCCACTAAGTTCATGAGGTTTAATACCACCCAAGTGGATTAGATCCCAGGAACCCATTGCCACCTTCTCATCCTTCTCAGCTTCGGTTCTACGCTTCGGACTGGACCGGCTGGACCGGACGGCCGACGTCTGACACGTGAAAAAACACATCACCCGTTCGACACGGACGGCATCCATCAGGTTTGTAGACCCCAGGGCATCCAGGCAAACCAGTATAGCTGGTAACCAGTGGTTCCAAAGACTAAAACCATCTAAAACCATAGACCGAACGAATCCCTGGTTCCTTCTATAGTGATTTGCCTGGGGTCCACTGGGGACCCTTTTCCGTCGATGTCTTCGCGGTTGTGCAGGTGCGCCCGCGTGAGCGCAGGTGCCACATCTTCCATGAAGAGAATGGTTTGGCGTCAACAAACAGCCTTCGGCTCCCGAAGGAGAACCCAACCGCGATGGAGAATTCAGAATAAATGGCGCTAATCCTGATATCTATTCTCTGTTGCAGCTGTTTGGTCCCATCTAATATGGACTCTTGATTGATAAACCCTCGGATATCAGGAGGTGTTTCAATCCCAACGGGACCGGAAGCACTACTCCGGAGTCTGCATGACCTCGCAAAAACAGGTGTTTGTGTGTGTGTGTTTAGTTTTCTGAGGCGAATGCAAGTTCATGAAGGTGACGATTTTCAAGTCCAAGCAACGTGAACATGTAGCAGCCCAGCTTCGAAGGGTGCTCAAAGCTGGGGCCGAGACGGCTGCAGCGCGGACCCGATGCGCTGCGAAGACTGACCGACGCGGACCGTGGAAGGCTCGACCGTCGCGGACCCGATGCGCTGCATGTTCAGCTTGGAATAAAGGTGTACACAACTCCTGTGCCGGGTGCCAAGACTGAAGGGCATGTGTAGCACAAATAGCGGTCTCCCTTTTTTCGCTCATCAGCTTCTGATGGTTTGGCTGGGTGGGTTTGTACAGTCACTTATTCCACTGCGTGCCTTCTATTTTATTTATATAAGTAAGTGTATACTATATACATGAAGTAAGTAGTATAATTAAACTAATTATACTACAAATGTATACTTTGGGGTGGGGAGCTTGTAGTGTATGCCACCAAGAGGTTGAGACAAGTGTGCTCCACATGACACATGACGTCATGTTTAGTTCTCATTCTTCCAAACCCATACTCTCACCTTGAATCACCCCTCATCACTCATGATACCTCATGATCATCTAAACCAACACCCCTCATCTTCCCCACCAGGGCGCGCCCTCCCGCCCTCATGGGGATGGCCGCTGTGCCCTGTGCCCTGTGCCGCGCGGGCGCCCGGACGTCCAGCTTCGGAAAGCGCTCGGACAGCTCCGTGGGCGGAGATTCCATCGCTGAGGTCCTGGACGTCCTGAGGACGGTCTTTTAAACCAACGGTGGGGGTCGTTGCCAGGTTGAAGGACCCTAGTTACGTTCGACTACCCTAGTTGGGTATCCCACTAGGGTTCTTTAAAATCACTTGTAACGTAACCCTCTCTTGGTAGGTCCTGTGTGGATAGTCCGGTCCCGGGTCCCATTCCCGGTGAAGTTGGTTCTTAAACGTTGAGTGTTCTTGTTCCTACTAGAGTGCTGGGAGGTTCAGGGGTGCCTGTTCGTTTGATCTTAAGCTTGGATGTATTGTCTTGGCCAGTCTTCATCTGCGAAAAACCTGAAATCACCATCGAAGCAAGCAAACAATTCGAATCAATCAGTTCCATCACATAATGCTTTACATGCTGTGAAGCCGGCTCCGCCTCGCTGGACCTGTCCTCTTCCGCTGAAGTTTCATGGCCCTCTCTTCGTCAGGCTCCTTCAGTTCAAGGACCTGCTTCATGGCCTTGGCAGCGACCGAGGAAGCGCGTCACACGGCGTCACTGAGACTTCAGAAGACCCCCACGAGTCTGTCTCATGCATGCGTGGACCAAACTGAGTATGTTCATGTTGTTGTCCAATTCCCTTCTTTTTTGTGGGCTCCTCTGGTGTGTTTGAAGTTTTTGGAGACTACTCCTGAATTATCATGATATAGTGATGTCCCATCCCCACATGACATGAACAAAAGCATAGTCCAACCTGGCCGTTGACACCTTCCAACCAGCAAATCTAACTGAAGACTGAACATTTAATGCACTAAATTGAAAGCGTCCACAATCCTCCTTTGCCCTCAACCTCCCCCACACAACTTCAAATGTGACTAAATATTAGTGTACAATAGTGTACATATAGTTCCAATGTGAAAGTGCTTGACCATAAATCCCCCTCACAGCGTTTTCGACCAAATCGCGCATTGGGGGTGGAACGCTCCCTCCAAGCCAGCCCCCCATCCCATTTCTGCATGTCCCATGACCTTCCAAGAGGTGTCTAAAAGTAGCCTCTTAGAGGTGATTCGGGGTGTCCCAAAACCACCCAACTTGCCAGGTCAGTCTAAATCTTCATCGACTGACGAGGCGCTGCGGCACGGCGCGCCGAACGCTCCGAGGCCGCAGAAGCAGCGGCGGAGGCCTTCGACTTCTCGGAGATCGCAGTGAAGCCTTGGCGCTTTCAATAAGCCGTCGTTGCAAATGTCTCGTCTCGACGAGGCCAAATTAAAGAACTGTAGACTCCTTGGATGAATCGAGCCCACCCCCGACCCCATTTAATCATATTTAATCATACATGATATCAACAGACCCCTGTAAGGCATAAGTATAGGAGACAATGATCAACTCGATGAGACCGGATGAGAGCGCTTGGCTTTTCGAGGTGGACGGCGAGATGAGGAGCTTGAGGATGATGGGACTTGGCAAAAGTCGTTTGCAAGGAGTCTCTTTCACCAAGTCATTTTCATGCAGGAAGAGATCCACATGGAACATGAACATGGACCTTTGGAAGACGAGATTCCAGGGTTTAGCAAGTGTTCCAGGGTGTCCGAGTCAATCGGTCGGCAGGTCGTTGGGGAGTTCTGGGGATGGTCCTGGGTGCTGTGTCGACCGAAAGCATCCATCCCACCACCAGCAGAGGTTGAGGACCCCTATACCCTACACTTCCAAGACCATTTAAAAAATGGTTGACCTGGTTTTGGTAGAGTAAAATCCTTTGTTGATTCGGTAAAGCCTATTAAAGCAATAGTGGTTGGAAGCCTAGGGCTATAGACTATCCTAGTTCGCTACCTCTGGTTTTCCGGGTCCTAGTCGTTCAGGTCAGCTACCTCGGCATCCCATGCCACCCCGTCGTCTGTCCGATCTCCACGACGTATACGGGACCGACATCTCAGCTCGGAACGGATCTCTGTAGGGATCTCAATGGCATCTGGGCCTTGGGAGGGTGAGATGATCTCACATTTGGGCTCATGGACTCTCAAACGGCCAGGTTTTGGTCCCAAAATCTGAGTTAAAACATTAAACACATTTTAAAACACTAGCTGTCACTAGCTAGCCTCCAGTGGATTTCTGGTCGCTCACCCAGTTAGATCGATTTGGGCCGATGCCATCGTGCGGCCGCCTCTGAGACTCCGAGGCCATTGTTCCCTAGGGATCCAGTCGTAGCTGCTCAGAAGGCACGACTGGACCCTCTAACAGACATAAGTCGAACACATCACCGTACCTCAAAGGGTATGTGGATCCTTAGGGGCAGCCTGGTAGGTTGGAGGCCGTCTTAGGTCGGCCTTTTCCACCAAAGAGACCACTCCGGGGCACCCGACGCTGCACTTCTCTCATGTTGTTTCCTGGAGAGCGGTGGGATGTTGATGTTCTCATGGCACCCATCAGAAGAGTTGGATCCAAATCCAAGCCGGACTTGGCTGAACCCAGGGATAAAACAATGGCTTCAATCAAAGAGTCAATTCTTGTTTTATGTGATTTTTGCTACTGTTTGAGTTGAGTCCTTATTTTCCAGCTCTTTTCCACCCATCACATCCATGAGGGCCCCCACCCAGGGCCGGCACCAGTGCAGTGTCCGCGTCCGAGGCAGGGGAGGGAAGAGGAGGAGCTATTTTTGGAATCACCCCAAATGCTCGGACAGCTCATGCCCATATAGGCCCCCATGTCATGGTTTTTGCTGCTGAGCCCATAAGCCTTTGCAGTCCCTGAAGGGCATCGACTTCAAGGGGAAAGGATCGAGCATGATCGAACCATCACATCCACTTCAATGTTGGCAGTCCTTGTCCTGGCGGCACTTCCATCCACGGCTCACGCACGTGCTTTCCCCGACTTTGCCGGTGCGCGCGTTGGCAGCGACACACGTGGCAAACCGCGGTTGGAAACTGGCAATGTGGAACGCCTAACAGTTGATCATGTACAGGTACGCTGAGATTTCATGACAAGTTGATAGATTAGATGTCAAACAGTAGCAAAAATCGCATCAAACACCGTCTCCAGCCAGTTGCTGCAGCCACAGAGCTCATGCTTCTCGCGATGTTGGTGCTTCCATCCCCCCAACAGAAATCGCTGGGCCAAGCATCGCTGGGCGCACAACTTCATGGCATGTTGGGACCCAGCAGTGCAAATGCTTTTCTAAATTAATGACACGGATGATACGATCATGATACAATAATAATAATAATAATACATGTTTCATGAGGCTTCCCTGCCTACTTGTGTCCAAAGTTGAAATCACACCAATCACAACAAGCAAACTGACCATTCAGGAACTTAGCCCGCACGAAGCGCTTCGCTGCACCTTCGCCATCTACACGAAAATCGCTTCGTGTTGCACTGTGCTCGTTGTCTACATGGAAATCCAGAATCTTTGTCTGTCGGATGTCCATGTCTGGTCGTGGGTGGACACCTGCCCACAGCCTCGTGAGGGTTGTGCATTGCAATCAATCAATATCCAGGTGGGCTGATCATGTTCTGCTTCGTATTCGTAGATAGTTACTCTTTCTGGGACCTGCTGCTTGGAGTCACATCTATATATATAATATTAAAGGCGATGGAGTGAAAGCACAAGCAACAACTTAATATATATACTATATTATATATATATTTATATTACATGTGAAACATCTAGAACCTATATTTATGGCCGGCTGTTTTATATAACTTCTTCTCAGCTGATGACCAGTCTTTCATTCTCATCTGTCCACCGTCACCTGAAGCTTCCCCCCTCGCTGTCCGGAACGAGTGGCAGCGTATGGGCTGGTGGGCTTGGCCAAAAAGAGAAAACACCTGTCAATCGGCGGACCCGGTTGAACACAACTCTCCCTGATGGTCCACCCGCTCGGATGCCCCTCTCTTTTTGGTTCGGCGAATCTGTCGTGCCACCTGACGGTGATGGTTGGAACCGAGGGCAGGTGGAATCAACGAGGCAAGTTGGATGTGTCTGATCAAGTCGAGGAAACAACACATGTGTACATTATGTAGGACGTCGTTGTATCATAGCTGCAGCTATATATAGACTAACAAAAAGACTATAATCATCGTTTTATTTGAGTTTCAATACTACTCCCAGCATCAATGATGACTGCAACAACATGGAGCACAAATGAGCAAAACATGTTATCATACAATCGTTCAAGGCAAAAAAACGGCCTCTCGCAGTTGAGAGGCCGCCAGTGTCGCATGTCACCATGCCGAGGCATCGTGCCTGAAGCTACTTGCCCTGCTTTGCAGCGCCTGGTGTGGAGCGACTCTGGACATCGGCTGTTCCGTGAAAGGCCGGTGCTTCGGGTGCTTCGGCCAGCAGACTTGGCTGAGCGATCTGAGGTCCCCATGACCAATTGGTTCTTTGGCCACACGATCCCTCGATGGTGAAGGCTCAAA